GCATTAACTAAATATAAAATGACAAATCCCATTTCCATTCATACAATGTGTTTATATTGAATAAATTGAAGCATAGATTATGCAATTACAGACAAAGTGTCAACTGTAGATATTACATCTTGTGGTAGTGGGGGTACTTGCCAAATTGCACAAGAATGGCATTGTAAGTGAATTGAAAAATTGAAGTGGGTATGTTCGCTCAGTAACCAATCCATTATTTTCAAGCTGACCATTATTTTCCAGGTAATAAAATAATTCTGATTTTTAAATCACAGAAAGCATTATAAAGCGATTATTTGAATGAATGACAAGTTTTATGACCAATTGATACCTTTTATAAGGAACATGCAGTGTAAAACCTAAATTTATAAAATTAAAGATGTAACTTCTTAAAAATTCAATTTCTAATTGTTCTGTCTGGTATTGCTAAAAAGAAGGATTAACATGCATATAATGTTGTCTAAGAGTGACTTAGAAACAGAGTGTCCTCTCACTCAGATTCTATATTCAGAAATGTAACTTACTATCTGCATTTAAGAAATATACATTTAAAGTGTTAAGTAGTAACAAAGTTATGAGCAAATTGTATAAAAAAAAAATATTTTAAATAATTTTCTCATCTAGTAAGAATTTTTTTGTTTTGTTTTAAAAGTAATATTATGCTTAATCTTCTAATATGTATGCAAGCAACAGTACAAAATAACTTAGGGTGTGTACTTTGATATAATAAAAAAGGTTTCTATTTTAAAAAACACAGACATTAAATTAAAAAGAGTAGCTGACAAGAATGTTCCTCTGACAAGATCAAAATAGCATACAAGATGAGACAAGTATTTGTGTCCTGACTTTGACAATGGTTCAAGCTTGATTTTTGTCTGTATAAGAGATTATAAGGAAAGAAACAAAGTCCTTCATTAAAATATAAAAAGGAATATAATTTTATTTTTTAGGTTTGATTAACATAATCAGTATTTAAGAAATGTGCACTTAAAAGCTTAAGAAACAAAAAAGTTAGGAGTAAATTGTATCTAACAAATATTTCTTTATATTTTATTTAAAGTATATATTCTGCATTTCACTTCTAGCCTTTGTTTGTATTACTTATAGTTCACAGCTATTACTTTTAAAAAATTATCTTTAATATTATGTAATATTTTATGAAAGGCATGAAAACTAATTTCCAGGAGATCAAAGATGCCACCTTTATAAGCACAACAAATTTTTTATCTTTTTTATATTCCTCAAGTATTATACTGTTTGAGTAAAAATATAACATTTTAAAATGCTTAAAATTCAAAGAGAAAATTTTCAGTTAAACTTGACTAAACACTAACAGAAGTTTAAAAAAAAAAAGAGAAAGAAAATCACTACTAGCTGTTAGTAGTTTACTAAATAAAAAAGTGTGACTATTCTAATTTCACTGTTGACAAAGTTTTAAAAAAGGATTCAGTTTTGAAAAAATTTCAGTCTATTTGATATTTTTCAGTTAATAATTAAATAGTAAGTCCTCCCATATTAATTTTTTACTAAATCTAAAATGAAATGCATTTTAATCCAAATAGTTAAAAAGAAAAAAAAAAAGAAATTAGTGTTTTCTCTTTCTTGCATTGATAATCAAAAGCTTACAGTTTGACTATTGTTCAGTTGATCATCAAATTCCAAACCTGCTTGCCAAACTCCATCATAAAATCATTTAAAATTAACAAATGTAGAAGAGCATAAGTTGCTTTTAGAGGTGCTCAGCTATTTGAAAACCGTTTAATCAAGTTTAAAACTAATCAAGTTTAAAAAAGTTTTAATCAAGTTTAAAATCTAACTGCTGTAACAATAGCATACATATATTTTTTCCACTATAGTATCAGATTTTACAAGTCTGTAAACTGAGACAAGTGCATATGCTGTTCACAACTTAAAAGCTCAATAAAAGTTCACATTTAATAATAATGTAAAAAAAATTTGCTCAAAGTCCTTGGATTCAAATTTACACAGGTTTATATTAATCTAAAATGGTTTGTTAAATAGTCAAGTTATCATTCATTACAGATGTACATTGCACTAGTGTTAAAGAGATGACACTAAAAAACTATTCAAAATTAGAATAAGTGTTGCTCTTTAATATAGGAATAGCATTAACCTGGTATTGATTGTTTTTTTTTTAATGTGATGGAATGGTGATCATGGCTCTAAATATATTTTGTTTTTTATTATCTGTGAATTGACATGACTTCTTAGGAAAAATAGTGGAATTGTCCCCCATTGCCTTCTCCATGGTGTGGCATTCAGTTTTCTTCTCTTAAACTGGGTATCACCCAAGACTAGAGAGTCCAGTCTATCTACTCTTTGACCCATATATGGAAGGAGAAGAGATGGATTCATGCCTTTCTTGACTGCATTTGTGTGAAAGTGAACATAACTGACTAGGCCAGAATTTGAACTTGGCTTGCCAATTCTTTGATCCACACTAATAACAGATATATGAGAGACCAGAAAATATTTACTATGGTATGTTAAAAAAAATGAAACTTGGGAAAACCTGAAAAGAAAATAAGGCTAACATGAAAATATCCTAAATGTGAACAGTTGACAGATCAAATGAGATATGTGTAAATTCACTGAACAGAATTACTAAAAATTATCGAAGTTAATGAAATGTGAATCTACTGTTTATAAATAAATGTTAACATTTTTCTTTACAGAGTATATTATTTACACAGTTGACATTTATAGAGGCTATAAATATTTTAAAAGATTTTTTTTTTTTAAATTTGCACAAGTGCAACAGAAAAAAGTTAACATTTTATAATTCTCCCAGTGGAAAGATCTATATAAAAAAAATAAAAAACAAAATAAAAAAAATAAAAAAATGACCTCATAAAAAATATTCCACTAACTGAAATCTAATCTCCAGAATATGTCAATAATAATTTTATAACATATACAAGTCAACTTCAAAATTTTAAATTCAAATCTTAGATTCAGAAATTCTTTGGAGAGATGATTTGCATCTCTTTTCCAAAAAAGTTTTCTCAGAAATACACATTGATTGGTGCATGAAAAATAATGAAAATGAATCTATAATTATCAATATTCAAATTATGTCTACATTTAAGTTTTATGGTCAGTTGAAAAGAAATACTTATGTTGATGACCATGGTATACTATTGACAAATAGTCCAAAGGTTGACAGGTATAATTTGCCCCATCTAATTAACAATTCTTGAAATTGAAGTCCAGTTTTTGTAATATTTGCATTTTCATTAAAAAGTCAGTAGATTTTATTTAATAATCACTAGAGGAATGATAGGTGAAAGGTCAAAGAATGTATCCCAAATATTAAACCAATAAAATTAACCGACACTCATCAAAGAGTAAAAAGTATAGCTCCAAATGAAAGAAATTAACCCTTTTCCATCAATCAGACAAACAATATTAAAATATACATTACTAAAGTTATAATTATTATCTACTCAGTACTAGTTACAATAGAGATAGTGGTAAAAAAAAAAAAAAAAAAAAAAGTATTTGTTTTAAAACCATCACATGTTAAATTTCCATCCTGATGCAAGAACTGTGATATAAAGTATAAGGACCAATGGTACTTTTTTTATATTGACATTCTAATACTTGCAAAAATTTATAGGAAGATGATAATGCCAAACTAATATTATATTCAGAAATATTTATGGTGAATTATATTTTTTTAATGTATCATCACCTTATTTTCAGAAATTTATTATTATTATTAGTAGTAGTAGTACACAACAGATTTAAACTTCAACCTATCAACACTGAATAGAGAACAATCACATTCACCACTACTAACCAGAACTAATAATATTCATCTTAGCATCAAGTTTATAATACCTAAATATCTATTTTGAAACGTAGTCAACATAAGTTAGAGAATTGAGAAGTTTTAGAATGATGCTCATCAAATCAAGTCACAATTATTAGTTTCCAGCCAAACAAAGAACTGTGTGTGTGCACGTTTAATTTCAAGAATGCAACTGTTATTGCATAAAGTTCTGCAGATATTTAGAACTTGATGTAATAATAGTTGTAAATGTAATAGATTAAAACCAATAAATTCAAATTGAAACCAACTCAATATTTTCCAAAAATCTTGCAAGATTTTTTAAATTTTTTTATTCTTTTTACAAGGATAAAAAGATATCATCAAATAGCCTGAAACTATTGAATTGAAGGCAAATTGGAAAATTACTGATAACTCTCTTGTTATTCCAGAAAATAAAATAACTATTTTTTAAGTATTTAATTTACTTCTTAGCTTCAATTAAGCTAAGTAAATACTTAAAAATTAGTTATTCATGTAGTATTTTTATACTTGGAGATATTTTCTTAAAGCTGGAATTTTTTTTAAATGTATCATTTTACATTAAAAAATTGATCTTATTGTCATGCAAGATCAAGCCACCCCCCAAAAAAAACAAACAAACAAGTAATAAAAAGTGTATGATGACTATGGAATGCACACTATTTCAAGAAACATTTGAAAACTAGTTTCACTGCACTTCAAATAATTTTAAGTTTAGGAAATCAGGCCCGTCGCTAAGGGTGAGGTCTGACCCCTCTAGAAAGTAATTTGCATCCCCACCTTGCGAAAATGATGTTAACTAATTTTAGTGTGCAAATTCTTAAACCATTTATTGAAGACATTTTCAAGAACTTGATGCTATTTCACTTTCCATCGTACAACATTTTTTTTAAATCATAAAAAAGTTGTTCCTTTTTAGTTTTTATTTATGACCGTTACCCTAAACTTCACAAAAAACACTTTTAATGCCCCCCCCCCCAACTTAAAGGACTCCCCTACCCTTAAATATTAAAGGAATACTTTTCACTTTTTAAAATAAAAAAAGGAGGGACAACCGATCAATGTATACTTTTTTAGAACAGGATTATAAAAAAAATCTATTTCTTTTCAAAACTCACGACACAGTAGAATTCAGTTAAAAAAAAATTTAAGTAAGTTTACTTACCTGTTTTTTTGGGTGGCCATTTTGAGGACTTCTTTTTGAAGATAAACTGCTAAAATAACTGTGTGCTCAAAAAATCTACGGGAAAAAGGTGCGTCTCTAAGGTGCTTAGATTTTTTATAAAAATTAGTAGCAACTAAACAAAGTGCGTGAATGATAGCTAGCTACTTTTCCCGTGATCAACTAGAGAGAAATAGAAAAAAGGCTTCCCAACACTGATAAGTGTTGCTTGGAATCTAACAGGAGCAGCCAGTCTCCCGTAATATTTATTAGCCAATCAGCACAAGGTCAAGGCGGTCCAGTTCCGCCCTATTTTCTTTAGAGACTTTAACTAGGCTACAACAGTTGAGTAGAGCAACAGATGAAATGACTTTACATGATAAAAAGAAAATAAAAAGAAATAATATTGTGAACAGGATTAAAAGCGACAGAGAATCCGCTTGACAAGGTACAAATGAAATCGGATTTTTAACTAAGTTTTATTTTTAAGTTTGCAAAAAGATTCTCTCATGTCTGGCTAGAAAAATAAAAAAAATCTGTTGTGATTAGGATTTTTTCCTTTTCGTCTACTGCACTTTTATAACAATTTAAGTTTTCGTTAGTGAAAATAATAATAATAAAATGGAGACATAAAACAAATCCACCTTAAATGTTGATATTTCCTTTTTTTAGTATTAAAAAAAAAGTGCAAGTTTACTTATTTTTTTGGGGGGGGGGTATTTAACTCAGTCCCTTAAAACTTAGTTTCCTGTGGGGTATAATACACATGTAATGGCATAATCTAAGTAATATGTCTGGAAGTAGGTGATCATGGCTCTCCACAATTTCCAGCTTTTGTTGCTTCAAATAACTTTTGCGGCTTTGCTTCCGTTTTTCTGGTCGTTGCATTGCCATCAATTTACTCAAACTTGTCAAGTAAGTACACCCCACCCACTACTTTTTGCCTTCAATATACCCTCTGAGTGTTAAACTCTGTAAGCCTTCTTTCCATATTATGTATTCAGAAAATTCCAGCTGCTTCTTTCTGAATATTAGCAATTTATTTATAGTATTTGCTGGTATAACTACATCACTTGTCACTTTAAATCTCTTCTTCATCTATGAGGAGATTTGTCCAGCATTCATTGCTATAGATTAGAAATATTGCACAGCAGTCTAGCACTCCTTTCTTTGTTTCTATGATTTTATAATCTCTTAATACTCTTTTCTAAAACAGTTTTGCTATTTTTTTGATGCTCCTTTGGATTTCTGTGGTACTTCTTTTGTCTGTTCAGATTCTCCGCAGATAGTGAAGTTTCCACCCCTGCTTGTCTTTGGTATCCACAATGTACAACTCACACCTTAGATTGTTTCTTTTGCTTACAACCATCCTGTTTAGTTGCTTTCCTTGATTACATTGTCCAACAGATTTTTCAGGGTTTTCTTCTGAATCTTCTACCAACAGTGTCCTCTGCATAATATATGTTAACATTCACTGATAAATTTTGGTAGGTTTTTGAGTCTTCTTATAATCCTCTTACTGTACAGGTTAAATAATCCAATGAGAAAAAACAACCTTGCCATTATTTTCTTTCCATTTTTAGATATTTAATAAATTCATTCTCTATCTGCATGTAAGTTGTTTTTCCACAGTAGAGTTTACAGATTACTTACAGATTCTCTTCTGTGTAAGACAAGTTTTCCTAATTTCAAATTCTCTGTATAATCTATGAACATTGGTATAGATTTCCATGCACTTGTATTGCTTGCCCTGATAGCACTTTGATCATATAAATTGTATTTCTTGTTCCAGTATCTTGAACAAACTGTTTTTGCTCAATTTCCAGTTTAATTCTGCTTTGAGTTATATGGTTCATCAAGCTGATTGCTTCATGGAGTTCATATTCATTGACACATTTTCTTTGACAGTGCTATAAAAATGATCTACAGAGATCTACAGTATTTTGCAACTGTCATGCATTTCATTTATCACTTTGGTAACTGTCAATCCCCAATTTGTGTAAGGCTTATCAGCATCTCTATAAAAATCTCATCTGATCCTCCTCTTTTGTTCCTCTGCATCTTGTCCAGCTGACCTGTGCCATCACCTTTTCATCATTATTGTTCTGGCTTCCAATTTTATAGATCCTACTGAAAAACAGGTTTTTCCTACTATCTTTTTTTTTATACTATCTTATCTTTTTGTGTTGTGTAGTTTGTTGATTTATTCATGCTTCTCACTGAAATATTTCTCCTTTGTTTGCTTCTTCTATTGCAACTTGTAGAATTTTACTCAAGTTTCCAAAACTATCTATACTTATTATAACTGAAAATTTCCACTGAGCACAATTTTATTAGAATTATGTTAACAGGATCAAAATAGCAATATACAAAATTAAAACAACAACTTGACAAATGAAAAATTGGGTTCATTAATGTTTTTGACAGACTACATTAGTGCTAAGCAAATCAGACATTTTATTTCTTTTTTTTTATTCTACATAACAATCTCCTATGCAGACCACATCACAAATGATAGTACAAGATACCATCAGACAAAAAACCAGGTCATTGGAAGACCTCATAATCACCACCATCATGAAGAGAGAGTTGAAATGGTATGGCCACATCATAAGAGCCAGAAATCTTTCCACCTTAAGCAAAAGAAGAGGCAGACAGAGGAAAAAAATGGGCTGAATATTTGTGGTGAGACTCGAAGATTATTTACAGAGGTTCAGTCATTGGCATATAACCAAGACATATGAAGGGAGCAGTGTAACAAGTCTACATCTACACCTGTTCAGGAGACTGAACATGATGATGATAACAATTCACTAAGTACTTACAAGTAAGTAGGATAATTATTACATTTTGTATAGATTTTTAATGATAAGCTATATTAGATGAAAATGAAAAAATAAAGCAAAAAAAGAAAAGAAAAAAAAGACGACCCATATTTAATTTTGCAATCACAGTAATTTATATTTTCTATATGAGTAATCTAGGATTTATCAATACAATTAACTATTATTTACACTATTTACATTGCCCTCATCTTTGTTGTTATCACAATGTTTCAGCCATTGTACCCTCTGGCCTTCATCAGGTGTATGTCCATCTGGGTAACTTATAGAGAATTCTGAACTGAACCTTTTCTTTAATCTACAGATAGACTGTTCTCATTTCACTGCCCATGTCTAGGGATATCTCATTTAATTCTTTTTTTTTTTTTTTAGTACTGCTCAGTTATTGCCCACTCTGTTTTCATTGAGTTCAAGTACATACTGCCCAGCCCAGAGATTGAACTCACAATTACTATTTCACAAACCAACACTTTAATCTACTAAATTCATCACCCAACATTTTAATCTATTAGGCTAGAGGTAAACAGTATAAATGATGATTATTTGTCATCCCAGAAATTCAGACAGAAACAATTAACTTTTGTTACATATAAGAAATAATTCTACCTATTAGATCATTAAAATTTTGTAAAAATCCAAGAAACACTAAAATAAAAAGGTAAAAATAAAAAAATCAATAGCAACCTAATCCTTTCTATTTAGTAATGAAATATTCCATTTTTATGGTAATACAAGGTAAGTAATGTCTGCTGTTAACAATGGAATATCTCATTACTAAGAAGGGGAGTTTAGGCTACATAACCAATAAATATATAAAACATATTGTGTTTTATATTATGGAATAGATACTGAAAGAATAACTAATTCTGATTATATGATACATGCCGTAGTTATCAGTGCAGAAAATGGGATTGGAAGTTCAAATTCCAGTCGTGGCTGTTGTATTTGTTTTTGCACAAATACCTTGAAAAAAAGTATTAATCCATCTCTTCTCCCCCAACCCCCTGCCCAAAGCTTGGTGTTAATATCAGGGCAGACTATACATCCATCCATCCATCCATCCAGACATGCACACACACACACATATATATATATATATATATATATATATATATATATATATATATATATATATATAGCCGAGATAGTGATTAAAATAGTCATGTTCCAGGGGATATCCCCCAGGTAATACCACTCCTGAAGGAGGCGACTCTTAACTGTAATAAAGTGGTGTCAGAGTTGCCCCTAAAAGAAAGAAATGCCAATTTTCTCCCTAGCCCATCTGTGTGTGAGTTCCCATCCTACTTTAAGCACAATCTTGTGTTACATTACCCTTGAGTGGATAAATACATACATATATATATATACATACAATTCTTATTATCTAAAAATAGAAAATTAATATTTAAACCTAAAGTAATTAAAAAAATTACTTTGTGCCTTTTTTTTTTTTTTTAAATTTCTAATTTGTATGCCCCCCTCATCTTTGTACTTTTTAATGTCACACTTGACAGATGCAGACAAATTTTCTGGTCAATGAATGGGATAAAAAGTTCCAATTAATTATTTTTTTTTTAATTGATAAATCTACTGAACAATATGTTTTATATTCTCTGAATCTTAGGTGAAGAAAGCGGTACTTTTTGCCAAAAGGCCAGGAACATATAAGACTGTTAGAAATAAAATATTTAAATTTAACTGAAATGTTTCAAGAAAAGAGCCACAAATATGCATTAAGGGTCAAAATATAAAGATTAAGTAGTTTTTTTTTTATAATATGACATGATAAATATAGAAATACTCTGAAGGGGGAAGTGCTGAAGTTTATTTGGAAATACAATTGACATAAACAGACATTCACACATGTACATATTTCTATGATTTTACAAATAATTCCTTTAAGCCCCATCTGATAATCAAACAATTATAATTATTGATATACACATAAAATATCTGAAGCTTATATTCACAAATAATATTAATGTACTTAAATTGTTTTAGAAAATGTGTGTATGTATCATAGGATACATGAACATAGATATGTGCACAAAAATTTGCTAAAATAAAAATCTTCAAAACATTATTTAAGGGTCTGTTCAATACAGAAGAAAATCCTTCCAGGCCCAGGACAATATAAACACCAAAAAATAAAATGGGTGCAATTTAGTGAAGAGTGTATA